GGATGGCTGGTCCTGGCTGCTCCTTTCCTGAAGCGTGGGCTCCTGCTCCCCTCAGTCTTAACTGCACAGCAACGTGGATGGGCCTGGAGACGGTCATTCTAAGCGAAATAAGCCAGAAAGAGAAAGAAAAATACTATATGATATCACTCATTTGTGGAATCTAAAAAAAAAAAAACGCAAATGAACTTATTTACAAAACAGAAATAGAAAACACACTTACAGTTACTGGGGAGAAAAGGGGTGGGAAGGGATAAATTGGGAGTTCAAGATTTGCGGATACTAATTACTATATATAGAATAGTTCACGGCAGCACTATATACAATAGACAAGACATGGAAGCAACTTAAATGTCCATCAACAGATGACTGGATAAAGAAGTTATGGTATATATATGCAATGGAATACTACTCAGCCACAAAAAAGAATGAAATAATGTCATTTGCAGCAACATGGATGGACCTAGAGATTATCCTTAAGTGAAATAAGTCAGACAGAGAAAGACAAATATCACACGCTATTACTTACATGTGGAATCTTAAAAAATGATACAAACGAACTTATTTACAAAACAGAAAGAGAGTCATGGACATAGAAAACAAACTTATGGTTACCGGGGGGAATGTGGGGGGGATATATTAGGAATTTGGGACTACCAGATACAAACAACTATAAATAAAATAGGTAAACAACAAAGTCCTACTGTAGAACACAGGGAATTCTATTCAATAGCTTGTAATAACCTATAATGAAAAAGAATATACATATATGTGTATATGCGTAACTGAATCACTATGCCGTATGCCAGAAGCTAACACAACACTGTAAATCAATTATACTTCAATAAGCACACACACACACCTGTACCATTTGACCCAGTGCTTTCAGAGTCCAAGGAAATAATCCAAACACAAAGTTGTGCAAAGTCTCATTTAAATGATACCTCCACTTAATGGAACACTAGGCAACAATCAAAAGGCCATTGTGGACACAAACCTGATATCAGTTTAGGGACCCAAGTAGCCCTCTCTTGCCATCTCAGATATGGGATTAAGGTGCCCTGAGGCTCCATCCCACACTTTCTGAAAACACGATGCTTTCTCACCAGTGGCGTAGATGGCCGAGACCTTCCATCCTCCCAAGTGCTTCTTTCTGTCTATGCCTCTGTCCAGAGCTGCCTAAATTCAGCTTCCACTGCCCCCAGGCATTTCATGGTCTGGGTGACTTTACTATCATTGTGGGGATGTGCAAACGGCTCGGATGACACATCTGGGTACCACCCGAATCTCAACTCCCTGGGGCAGTGACAGACTAGTCCCCCTGCTTCTCCAGAGCTTCCCCTCCCTCAAAAAGGGCCAGTTTTCCCCTAAAAGGAATTCTTGGATCAGTTGCTAATAATATACATTTCCTTCTCACGTTATTATATGAGGAATTTCTTGTGACAT